TGAAATTACAACATAGTCAAAAGATATACTGAGACAAAATAGGGAGCTTTTCCTTATACCTGACAGAACTTGACAAAATGTCTAGCTACTACTGTCCAGTTTTCACAGCTTTCTGGAAAAAGGCATTGCCTACGTAGACTCCCGCGGATCCTCCACAGACCCTTTTATGTGTAAAAGTACAACAATCACATGACCTCCCAGCAGATGAAGATGGTAGTGACCGCAAGGGACAGGTTCAGGTAAGTAAAACTCCCCTTCCCCACACCCTTCGGCCACTGGACACCAAGCGGAGCCGTCATCATTGGAGGTCTTTGCAAAATATGCTAAGATCCCAGATGGTGAAAGAGCTTTAACTTATAGGGTAGTTGTATGTCTCTTCTCCCAGCAGGCTCCATCAACTTGTCGTTAAAAGCTTCATTTATACCAGTGCTCTGATTTTCTGCAGACTTTAAGGACACCCTCGAGGGGGGCTAGCTCTAGTCTACAGCTCAACCTGATCTCAGTCAGAAGGAGGAGAGGAAGGAGACAATAGCAAGATTGACAGGTTAGCCAGCCAGTGGCAGCTGGTAAGGTGGAGGAAAAAGTTAAGATGCAAATTGTAACCAAAGTGTGAGCCTGTGACAGCAGGTCCTATGACCATTGACCATTGGTCCTATGTCAATCTGGCCCTGCATTCTGCAAATCTTCCAAAGGCATCAATGTTTTCCATGACCCGCAGCCAGACCAAGTGAGCATAAAGGTATTGTGGGAGATGCAGCAGAGGGACCACTGCTCTGGGATGTAGAATTTGTTGACTGATGAGGTTATGTATAAATAATGGTGCTTTGTTTTGCACTAAGCATATCCTATATGGTCATAGTTTTACCGTCGTGTCTGTTTGTTGTGTACAATATAAAGATGTCAAAATTAGTTTTATATATGAGAACAAAAAGAGGCACCGGCCTGATTTTTCTGTGACATTTCTTACAGTGCAGATAATGTCAGATAAAAAAAATATGTCAATAAAATGCAAAACAAATATCTATAAAATGGCACATTTGCACCGTTTTCATAGATAATCTGAGACACAAATTGCATTTTGCTACAGTTAGTACACAGGGATGGATTTCTGGTGAGAATCTATATGCGAGGGCAGGCACTAACTACACTATAAGCACACAAATATTGGGACACGTGACCATTATGTCAACAGGGACTTTTATGACATCACAATCTAAATACATAGACATTAATATGTAGTTGGTTCACACTTTGATACCATACCAGCTTCCACTCTCTGGGAAGGCTTTCCACAAGATTTGGAAGGGTTTCTGTGGACTTATTTGCCCATTCTTCCAGTAGAGCATTTGTGAGGTCAGGCACTGATGTTGGATAAGAAGGCCTGGCTCACAATCTCCGTTCCAGTTCATCCCAAAGGTGCTTGATGTCAGAGCTCTGTGCCGTCCAGTCAAGTTCCTCCACACCAAACACATCCAACCATGTCTTTATGGACCTTACTTTGTGCACTGGGGCACATTCACACTGGAATAAAAAAGGGCCTTCCCCAAACTATTCCCACAAAGACGGAAGCATAGCATAGGATAAGCATAGCATAGCATAATAAGCATAGCCCAACCCCTGAAAATACCCCTGTACCATTATCCCTCCTCCAACAAACTTTACAGTTGGCACAATGCAGGCAGGCAGGCAATGTTCTCCTGGCATCCGCCAAACCCAGACTTGCCCATTAGACTGCCAAACAGAGAAGCGTGATTTGTCACTGCCCACTGTGAGGCTTGCATGCAGCTGCTCGTACATGGAAACCCATTCCACGAAGCTCCCATCGCACATTGTTTGTGCTAGTGATAGTAATACCAGTGAAACTTTGGAACTCTTTAGCTATGGAATCAGCGGAGCACTGGCGACTTTTACGCACCATGCACCTCAGCCAGGGCTGCCATCAGAAATTGTGGGGCCCCTGACACAGCTCAAGGTCTGGGCCCCCCGGTGCCTGCACCCGAGTCCGCACAAAGTGCTGCAGCCCCCACACCCCTCCCCCCCCGAGTCTGCCCACAGGAATGGAGTGTCTGCAGGGCCAGTGCAAGGATTTTTGCCGCCCTAGGCAAAAGTAAAGTTTGCCGCCCCCCCATGTGACATCACAATGCCCCACCCATATGATCTGCCATGTTAACTAACACCAATGCTGCAGTGCCGCCGTGTTTACATTAAAAGGCCTGCAGGGACAGGCTAGACACCAGAACCACTACATTAAGCTGTAGTGGTTCTGGGGACTATAGTGTCCCTTTAATGTGAGGTAAATTAGAGATTAGTGCCACAAATAATATACTAGATTGCCTACTTACAACCAGATGAGGATGATGATGGGCTCTAGCTCCCGTCTGGCTCCACTGGTCTGGTGTAGAACAGGCTCTCTGGAGGCGGTTTGTAACTGTGGTCACAAAAATCAATGTTCTGGGATCAACTGGAAGCAGCTCCGTTTTTTTGAGGGCCCTTTACACAGCTCAATGTCTGGGTCCCAGGATCCACCTTCATGTTCCACCAATGAGTTTGTTCACAGGGAGTGGAGTGTGTGTGTGGGGGATGTCCTGATGTGTGTAAGGAATGCATTGTGTGAATCTGTGTTTGTATGTGTAAGGGCTGCAAGATGAGTTTGTGTATGTATGGGATGCAGTGTGTGCGTCTGTAAGGGATGCATTGAGTGTGTGTAAGGGGTGCATTGCTTGTGTATGTGTGTAAGGGATGCATTGCTTGTGTACGTGTGTCTGTGTGTAATGCATTGTGTGTTTTTCTGTGTGCAAGGGGTGCATTGTGTGTGATGGGTGTCAATCTCTCCCCCTCCTCCCTGTCAATTTCCTTCTCCCCCCCTCTCCCTCCAATTTCCTTCTTCTCCCCCTCCCTCCCTCTCTCCAATTTCCTTCTTCCCCCCCTCCAATTTCCTTCTTCTCCCCCTCCCTCTCATTTCCTTCTCCCGCCCTCCAATTTCCTTCCTCTCCCCTCCAATTTCCTTCCTCTCCCCCGTCCCTCAAATTTTCTTCCTCTCCACCCGTCCCTCAAATTTTCTTCCTCTCCCCGTCCCTCAAATTTTCTTCCTCTCCCTCGTCCCTCAAATTTCCTTCCTCTCCCTCCCTCAAATTTCCTTCCTCTCTCCCTGCCTCAAATTTCCTTCCTCTCCCCCCTCCCTCCAATTTAATTCCTTTCCCCTCCCTCAAATTTCATTCTCTCCCCTCAAATTTCATTTCTCTCCCCATCAAATTTCATTCCTCTCCCCCCTCAAATTTCATTCCTGTCCCCCTCCTCAAATTTCATTCCTGTTCCCCTCCTCAAATTTCATTTCCTGTTCCCCCTCCCCTCAAATTTCATTTCTTGCCCCTTCCCATTCATTTCCTCCCCCTCTTACATAAAATTTCATTTCTCTCCCCATTTCATTCCTCCCCCTCCCATAAATTTCATTTCTTCCCCCCTCAAATTTCATTTCTTCCCCCCCTCCCCTCAAATTTCATTTTCTTCGCCCCCTCCCTCCAAATTTCATTTCCTCCCATTTCATTCCTTCCCATCCCCTCCCTCAAATTTAATTCCTCCTCACCCCCCCCGACGGCGGGCGGGCAGGCGCGCGAGGGAGCACTCTCTGTGTGCTTCCTCTTCAGCTCCCTGGCGCGCCGTACTGATGCCGGAGCTGGACGATGATGTCATCTTCCGGCTCCGGCATCAGTACGGTGCGCGAGGGAGCTGAAGAGGAAGCAGACAGAGAGTGCTCCCTCGCGCGCCGGCCCGCCGGCCCGCCGGCCCGCCGGGTGTCTGCAGGGCCAGCCTCTGGGGGGCCCTGAGGTGACCGGCTTCTGGGCCCCCCAGGAGAAGAGGCTGGCCCTATGGGTACATACCGAGTCGCAGGACCCCCTGCGACCCGGTATGTACCCACTGAATCTGGGGCCCGGACGACCTGAGCAGTCCGGGCCCCCCAGGACCGCCGGGCCCATGACAACCGTTACGGGCCCTGCACATACCCCATGACAGACAGACAGACACACCCCATGATGGACAGACAGACACACACCATGACGGACAGACAGACACATACACACCCCATGACGACACCATACAGACAGACACTATGACACAGACAGACAGACAGACACACACACAATGACACAGACAGACACACACCATACAGACAGACACGATGACACGGACAGACAGACAGACACACCATACAGACAGACAGACACACACCATACAGACAGACAGACACATTACTAGTACCTGACACCAGGGGGAGGTCTGCTGTCGGCCGCTGGGGAGGTCTTCTGGCGGCCGCTGGAGGACTTGTCCTGGCGGCTGCTGGGGGGACCTGCGCTGTCTGTGCTCTCCCGCCCTCGCGCGCTGCTGAATGAGACCGGCGCCGGAATATGACATCATATTCCGGCGCCGGTCTCATTCAGCTGCTTGCTGGGGAGCAGAGCCAGCGCAGCTCCCCCCAGCGGCCACCAGGACAAGTCCTCCAGCGGCCGCCAGAAGACCTCCCCAGCGGCCGACAGCAGACCCAGGTGTCTGCCCGGCCCCAGGTGCCGACGGCCCACCAGGAAATTTCC